AACTTGAAAAGATACATGCAACCCTGTACTCAGTGCAGCATTACTTACAACAGCCAGAACATCAAAGCAACCTAAGTGTCTATCGATGGATGAATGGATAAAGAAAATGTGATATACATACACAATGGAATATTATCCAGCCCTAAAAAGAAGAAAATCTTGCCATTTACAACCACATGGACTGACCTTGAGAGCATTCTGCTCAATGAAATGTCACACAGAGAAAGACAAATACTGAACGATCCACATATATACGAATCTGATATAAAACAGAACTGAACTCATAGAGAACAGATTGGTGGTTGCCAGAGGTGGGGGGTAGGTGGGTGGGCAAAATGAGTGAAGGTGCTCAAAAAGTACAAACTCCCAGTTATAACATAAATTAGTCCTGAGGATGTATTGTACAGCATGGTGACTATAATGAATAATATGGTATTATACATTTGAAAGTTGCTAAGAGAGTAGGTCTTAAAAGTTCTCATCACAAGAAAACATTTTGTAACTATAAAAAAAGAAGCACAATACATGAAGTGACAAGTATGTGCACAGGGCATTAGGGAGCTCACCAATCTAGGGGGTTGACCATAAGAGCTGCAGAATAGACAGCTGATCACATCATTTTAGGGTTGACATCTTTAAAAGATATCAGTTCGATATAAATTTACATATACATTTAACACATTCACATTTCATTTTTCCAACATTCTTGACATTATTTTGGTTAGGAAAGAGAAAGGAACTAGCATGTATGGACTAGCATGGTTTACACATGTCCCAGTTCCCACCCCACCCTCCTAAGTCCACAATGCTTCCCTGAGCTGACTTGACATTTTTCATGTGGGATGTGCAGTTTCCCACAACTGAGGGTGCTGGGAACATTATAGTCAGATGCCCTTATATCATTTCCACTCCTCCCCCTTGTATGAGCTTAGGGGGAAAGACCCGAACCCCAGATTTAGGGGTGAACCTTCATGGGTCTAAGCTAAGTAAGAGTATGCTTGTGGCCACTACAGTGAGTTCAGGGATGGCCAACTAACCCAAGCCAGTCAACTAACTTCTGCAAGACAGCAGAGCCAAGAAAACTACAGAAAAACAAAACAGTAGCTTTGATCTTATAAATTCCTAGAGCAAATTGTACCTGAAGGGCACCCAACCACTAGACTTTTGGATTATATGAACCAATAAAATTACTTTATAGTATGAGCCAGTGTGAGTGGCAACCAAATGAATTTGAACTGATACAAAGTGGGTCACTAGAATGCATCCTATTCCTCAACAGGGGTATTAACTGGGTTTTATAAATGTGTACGATTCTGTCTTTTATTAACTCACACCATCCACATGTTGTGGGTGGGAAGGGCTAATAGTTGCCATGGGACAGCCCAGGTCGATATGAGTCCAGATCTCTGGGATGTAAGGGCTGGAAACAGGTGGCTCTCCTGAATCCTGGCCTTGGCCTCTCCTTTAAAAGGGCACGCATTCCTGGCTTTCTCCTGCTTCCTCCTACTCCTCCTAGGACCATCTAGAATTTCTTTGGTAGTTACTGTTCTATAGAAAATCCTGAGCAAAACCTCCCAGTAAACTGCCATTCAGAAATGATGAGAAATCTTGAGCCTCCACCCTGGACCATTCACTGGGCCTCTCAAATTTCTAGAGGCCAAATCAAGCAGAAGAAGTATACGGGATTCTGCTTTCTTAGCTTGCTTAGTTACTCAGACCTGAGCCCAAAGGGAACAATTTTTTAAACATCTCTAAGTACCATAGGATTTGCCTGCCAAGTCTCAGAAACACAACCCCAGCAGGAAAGGTCCCAGAGGAGACAGCAGTAGCCTGGGCAGGTGCAGAGAAACTGGTCAATTCATGCATTCAAACCATTAAAGTCCTTTTTTCCCTCATCCTCAACTCCCACTCCAGCTTTTTCTGGAGGGTGGCTCAGGTCCTGCCATGCCCAAGCCTTCATCACCCGAGACCCTCTCCACCTCTGCTGTATAATCCATCCTACTGGACACACCATAACTTGGACAGTGTCTCTGGGAAGGCATCTTCATCCCATGTCTGCTCAAGAGCCCACCATGGCTCCTCAGAGGAACTGGGGCCTTAATCTGGCCTCCAAAGACCTCCTGAAAGGCTTGTCCTATCCCAGTCCCCATAGCTCCTCCTGTTTTTTGACCACAGCCCAGCACAGCCACATGGTAGCCAGTCTGTTCACCAGCCCAGTCCAGGACCTGGAAAAGAGGAAGGCCAAATATGAGATGCAATGACTCCATAAAAGAAGCCAAGGACATGAGCCTACAGTGGCTGAGCAGGGCTGTTGAGGTGAGAACACTGTGGACATCGCTCATTCATAGGGTCACCAGGAGATGGAGCCAACTCAATGGCATATAACACTTACATCCCTCTTCCCCCAAAAGAGTATATAAACCGCAACAGGGTGTTGGCTTTATCTCATTGAGTCCTAACACTTGGAAAATGCCTGGGACAGAGTGTATGCATTAATTTAGTTGATCTCCTGAAAACCTCTCCAACTTAACCAATACTGGGTTTTCTTGTCTCTGTCCATAGTCAGGGGGCTAACCATTCATCCCTGCCTTGTATCAGTGTTCTCCTATATAAATCCTTCTTACTGGAAATTGGCCGGGGCACGGTGGGTACAAGAGGCCACTGCACAGACCACCTGGCTGACTACGGGCAGATTAAGAGACTTCTAGCCAAGATGGAGGTGTAGATAAACATGATTCGCCTCCACACACAACTGCAGTAAAAGTTACAACTAAACTACAGAACAAACATCACCCAGATTCTCAGGTAATTGGGCTGCATGGAAGTCCAACAACCAAGGATTTATTTATTTTAAGGATTTTATTTATTTTAGGCATAGGGGAAGGGAGGAAGAAAGAGATGGAAAGAAACATCAATGTGTGGTTGCCTCTCATGTGCCCCGCCTACTGAGGACTCAGTCCATAACCAGGCACATGCCCTGGCTGGGAATCAAACCAGCGACCCTTTGGTTTGCAGGCTGGCGCTCAGTCCACTGAGCCACACAAGCCAGGGCCTAATGACCAAGGGTTAAAGAAGCCACATTCATCCAGATGGGTGCTTTTCTATAATGGGCCACACTGTTAAGACATGGAATCAAAACAGCTCTGCCTAAGACACAGAAAGAAACACAGAGAGGCTGCCAAATTGAGGAGACAAACAAATATGGCCCAAATGAAAGAACACAAAAAACTCCAGAAAAAGAACTAAATGAAATGGAGATAAGCAACCTATCAGATGCAGAGTTCAAAACACTGGTGATCAGGACACTCAAAGATATCACTGGGTACTGCAACAACATAAAACAGAACCAGGCAGAAATGAAGGTGCATTAAGTAAAATAAAGAAAAATCCACAGGGAACCAATGATGGAGGAGATGAACCTGAGATTTAAATCAATGGTTTGGAACATAAGGAAGAAATAAGCATTAAACCAGAGCAACAAAAAGAAAAAATATTTTTTTAAAAATGAGAATAGAATAAGGAGCCTTTGGGATATCTCCAGTCGTACCAACATCCGAATCATAGGGGTGTCAGAAGGAGAAGAGGAAGAGCAAGAAATTGAAAACTTATTTGAAAAAAAAAATAATGAAAGAAAACTTCCCTATTTTGGCAAAGGAATATACACATACAAGTCCAGGAAGCAGAGAGAGTCCCAAATAAGTTGGACCTAAAAAGGAACACACCAAGACATACCATAATTAAAATGCCAGAGATTAAAGATAAAGAGAGAATCTTTAAGGCAGTAAGAGAAAAGCAAAGAGTTACCTACAAAGGAGTTGTCCTAACACTGTCAACTGATTTCTCAAAAGGAACTTTGCAGGCAAGAAGGGACTGGCAAGAAGTATTCAAAGTGATGAAAAGCAAGGACCCACAACCTAGATTACTCACTCTATCCAGAAAAGCTATCATTTAGAATGGAAGGGCAGATAAAGTGCTTCCCAGACAAAGTAAAACTAAAGGAGTTCATCATCACCAAGCCCTTATTATATGAAATGCTAAAGGGAACTATATAAGAAAAAGATAAAAACTATAGACATTAAAATGGCAACAAATGCACAACTATCAACAACTGAACCTCAAAAACAAACTAAGCAAACAAGCAAGACAGGAACTGAAACACAGATATGGAGATCATTTGGAGGGTTATTAGCTGGCAGGGGGAAGGAGTATGGGGGGAAAGGTGCAGGGATTAAGAAGTACAAATTTGTAGGCACAAAACAAACAGGGGGATGTTAAGAACAGTATAGGAAATGGAGAAGCCAGAGAATTCCTATGCATGGCTCATGGCCATGAACTAAGGGAGGGGACTGCTGGAGGGAAGGAGGGTACTGGGAGAGGGTCAGAGGCAGAAAACGGACAACTGTAACAATACAAATCAACAAAATCAATTAAAAATATTTTAAAAATACTCCTCGCTGGGACTTGATTTCTTAATAACAATAAGTACACCTTTTCCTTAATGCCTATGATTGGATCCACTCCCTGAGAAGTGACATCTTTTTTCCCCCTAAGGGGAAATTTGCCTGGCTAATTGGGGAACCGCTGTAATCCTCCTGAAGCCATTTCCTTTGGAAGAAGTCTGTGGTAGCCAGTATGACCACAGAACTAAACAGTGGTTCTGTAACTCCTGGCAGCCTATACACTTGCATCTGTCATTCTATTGCCAAAGCAGTTCCCTCCTCTCTCAGGCTCTGCCCACTTTAAACCTAGCCTTCCGAGTCACCTCCTTTCTAGTGCCCTCCTGATTCTCAGCACTCCTCGATCTGCTCATTTCAGTTCCAAGGGCTCTGTCTACCCTTTGCACACAACGCGTACAGATGTCCAGGGTTTGACCAGCGCCCTAGTCGATGCTGAGCTGAGTTCCCAAGTTCTTCACTTTTTGTCCAGTGTCGTCCCATTCCCAGCCTCCGTGTCCCAGGGCTCACTCACCCCTCTTCCCCAGCACGAAGCCCCGCGCTTACCTGGAGCTGGTGCATGTGCAAAACGTAGCCTTGCCCTAATAGCTGGAAGAAGAAGCGCAGCGGCCCTGGTCCTGAAAGCTCCTCCAGGCTCCGCAGCCTCCGGTCGCCAGGCCCGGTTTGGGGAGCCTCGGCTGCGGCGGCCGCCGGGAGGGCATTGGGCATCGAAGCCTTGGCTCTGGCCCCGTGTGGACTGAGGCCTGGGCAGGCCACTCTCGTTCCCAGCAGCGCCCACCGCAGCCTCGCGCAGCCCAGCGCACCAATGCGATCCATGGCTCACACCACTGCTGCCTTTGGAAACAGTGCTGAATGCCCAGGTCCCGCCCTGGGCGGGTTCAAGGGCGGGTTCAAGGGCACCAGTATCCCCGAGTGGGCCAGGAAAAGGCCGGCCAGGCCCCTTACTGTTCACTTCACCTCGTGGTTCTCAATCCCTCCAAACAGTAGCTAACGAGCGCACAGAAGTCACTTTCTGCAACTGTGCCTCCCAGCCCCAGGAAGGGACGAGGCAACACAAAGGCAGAAGACGCGCAGGGACCCTAGGGAGACCCCGAGAGCACGGACGACGGCCGCCCCTTCCGTGACTCCGCGCCTCGCACTTCCCAGCACTCTCCAGGAGAACCTGAAGTTCGCTTTGTCCGAACTCAGCAATAACACAAAAAGTTCTAGGAAGTCCCGAGGCCCCCAAAAGCCAGGAGGCCCCACCCAGTGCGGCCAGCCCTAGTCCAGCAGGGAACCGGCTGCCGAGATTAAACTGGCCGCCGGCTTGTTCTAAAGTACTCGCCCCGCCCCCCCACTCCTGTTCCCGCCCCGCACCCGCCCCATTCCTGCCCCCGCCCCGCCCCGCGTGGACCCCAGAGTCTGAGTGCTTGAGAGAGCAGGAAAAACAAAACTGAATTAAAAGGCCCAGTGACCGAGGTCATCTGGTTTCTGGAGGGAGAGCGGGAAGCCACACAGTGCACCAAATTTAAATAGGTTTTTTAAATGCCTTTCCACTCGCTCCCGCCTCTTCCTCCGCACCCCGCACCCAGCCCCAAGTTTGCTAAGGCCGGATTTTTCAAACTGCAAGCTGACATCATCGGGTCAGTGTGTGAGCAGAATTACTCTTCAGTAAGATGGAAAATAATAAAACAAAAAGTATAGAAAATATTGCAAGAAAAAGTATTGCTTCATGAATTCTTTGTTTCACACATTCAAAATATACTTTTCAAAAAGTTAAAAACACAACTTGTACAAATGTAAAAGAAACACAGGGTCAAAGATTAGTCGACCCGTTAGGGACAGAACCAGCAGGACAGTGAAGCTTGTTCTCAGAGCATTTGCAGAACTGGTTATTTACAACCCGCTGGGGGTGGGGGGAGGGCAGAAGGGCACATTCACTTCAGAGGAACAGCGATGGGACTGAGTGGATTTCTTTTTACTTCCCCTGTTAGGGGTCATGGTTTCTTGCATCTGTGACTGCGGGTCTTTCCTGAGTTTGGGGAGTTTTTCAGGCATCATCTGTTTAAACACTGCTTCTATCCCATTTCTATTTCCCCTCTCCTAGCAGGACTGCAAGATGAAGGTAGAGATAGACATCCTTCAAGATTTATGTATCTTGATATATATATATAGTTATAACTATAGTTATATAGTTATAACTATATATATATAGTGATACACATATCATGATGCTATTTCGGCCATATCCAACAACATTCAGTGACAGTTTCTCTCATTAACACCCATCTCCAAATAGTTTTTAATTTCCATTTCGATTTCTGTTTTAATCTGAGTCATGTAAGGAAAATATTTTTATTTGCTTGCAAAGGAGATATATATATATATCTCCTTTTGGCTGTATCCTTCCTGCCTCTTACCCTCCCTTCTCTTAGGTATTTGTCTGTCCTTCTGTACCATCTAGCTCATTTTTTCTTTATTCAGCTCTGTCTAATCCGTTGTTAAATTTATTCATTAAATTCTTAAATTTCATGCAAACTCGATCACTAACTCTGCATGATGTTGCAGAAGTGAAGGGAACCAGGTTTGCTAAAGTAGTTGTGGTGATAGAAATGTATTGGCCTCAGAAGCTACTGAGGTGGTCCATTCCATCCTAGGATAGTGTAAAAAAAATTCTTAAATTTCTATTTTTATACTTTCCAGTTTTCAATTTCAATTAATTTTTTTCAAAAAGTTATGCCCTTTACTATATTTCTAGTTTTATGGCAAACTCTTAATTTTCTTTGTTATTATCCTTTTTAATTTTGTAAGAGCAGTTGTTTTAAGGATTATGACCAATAACTCCAATACCTGGAACCTATGTGGGGCAAGCTCTGTTATCTATTGCTTCTGGTGGTTTTTGTTCCTGTCGCCATGTTTCCTCCTGGGCCTGGTTACTTTTTGTTGTGTGCCAGAAAATGCTCTCTGTTTCTGGTGGAACTAATTGGAGGCTTGGGATGACTTCACTTCCCTCAGGGAAGATTCACTTTCATTTTCCAGTTCCCTAAAGGTACAAGCAATCCAGGGTCACCCTGATTCAGTTCTGGCAGTGAAATGTTCTAGAACTGAGCTGCAGTCCTGTAGAAAGCTAATCTGTTTCCAGTCTTGAATCTTTTGGGGTCCCCTCCCAAAGTTTTGGTATAAGAGATCATGGACCCCAGCTTTTCCCTCCCAGGCCCATGAGTCTAAACCACTCACTTCCCTGCTTCTGCTTCTGCAAATGAGCAGGTCCACTAACAGGAAAGGGGTACCTCTGCCTGATTTAACTCTGGATTTCTGTCTTCTTTCATGCCTAGTAACTCTTCCTTGTTTGTTCTCCCATGCCAATGACTTCAAGTAAATGCTTGTCATTTTTTTTTCAAGCTTTTGAAATTATTCTTGAGAGAGTTGAGTCCAATAGCAACAGCAGTGGAGATTCGATTTATGTTTTTATATACTAATTCTCCCCCTTCCCTAGGCTTATTTTCTTGATTTTTAATTTTTTTAACCAAAAAATTGCTTAATGAAAGTTTCTTATTTCCTAATAAATGTGATACATTTTTATGTGATACTATTTTGGCCATATCCAACAAGATTCAATAACTGTTTCTCTCATTAACATCCATCTCCAAGTAGTTTTTAATTTCCATTTTGATCAATGTTTTATTGAGTCATGTAAGGAAAATGCTTTTATTTGCTTGCAAATACTTGGAGTTTTGTTTTTGTTTTGTTTTGAAAGAGATCATTCTTTTGTTATTAATTTTTAATGTCATTACATTATGGTCAGAGTGTCTATGTTCTGCTTTTTTAGAATTATTGAAATGCTTGTGATGGACTAGTGCCTGCTTATTTTTCTGAATGTCCAGTGTGTATTTTTGAAAAACACATATTGTTCACTGACTTATTAATTTTGTTATTTAAATCCTCTATAGCCTTACTTATTTTTGTTTTCTTGATTTGGTAACGTCTCAGAGAAAAACATTCAAGTATCCCCAAAATAAAGATTTATCAAATGTTACTGAATTTCCAACAATTTTTGTTTTATACTTTTGAAGATCTATTGTCAGGTTCAAAAACGTTCCTGTTACATATTCCGGATGAATAACACCACTTATAAATTTGAAACATTAAATTGTTTTGTTTTAGTTTGATTGATTTTATATTTATTCCCACTTTGTTTTTAAGCATTTGTTTGACATATCCTCATTCATTCCTCTATTTTCTTTTTTTAAAAGATTTTATTTATTTATCTTTAGAGGGGAAGGGAAAGAGAGAGGGAGAGAAATATCAATGTGTGGTTGCCCCTTGTGCGTCCCCTGCTGGGAACTGGCCTGCAACCCAGGCATGTGCCGACTGGGAATCGAACCACGGTTGTTTGGTTTGCAGACCCACACTCAATCCACTGAGCTACACCAGCCAGGGCCACTCCTCTATTTTCAATTATTATAAGTTATCTTGACTTAAAAGTAACTCTCATAAATAAAAAACATGTAGCTGGATTTTTTTTACTCAACAAAAGAATCTTTAAATAGCAAATATTATTTTATAATTTGAATAAAAGTTTAAAAATAAATAAATAAAAACAATGGATAATTCATAGAAGAGGAATTAAAGTGGTTCTTAAACATATACAAAATTGTTCAACTTTACTTATAATAAAAGACAACTCAAAACTAATTAAGAAACCATTTTTCACTTATAATATTGGCAAAGAACAAAAGTTTGAAAATGGAGGGCGTAGGAAAACAATTCTATCATGGTTCAAGGGAGTGCAAATTGCTACAGACCTTTCAAAATTTAAAGTTTTAAAAAAAAATTAGCCCTGCTGGTGTAGCTCAATGAATTGAGTGCAGGCCTGTGAACCAGAGGATTGCGGTTCAATTCCCAGTCAGGGCACATGCCTGGGTTGTAGGCTGGGTCCCAGCAGGGAATGCACAACAGGCAACCTTACACTGATATTTCTCTCCCTCTCTCCTCCCCTTCCCCTCTAAAGATAAATAAATAAAATCTTAAAAAAAAATAAAATAGCCCTGGCTGGTGTAGCTTAGTGGATTGAGCACTGGCCTGAGAACCAAAGGATTGCCAGTTCGGTTCCCAGTCAGGGCATATGCCTGGGTGGCGGGCCAGGTCCCCGGTGGGGGGTGTGTGAGAGGCAACCACACATTGATGTTTCTCTCCCTCTCTTTCTCCTTCCTTTCCCCTCTCTCTAAAAAGAAATAAATAAAATATTTTTAAAAATAAATAAATAAAATAAAATAAATAAAAAATAAAAAAAATAAAAAATTTACCTACTTCTAGGAGTTTACAGATAAATATACTTTCACATTTGCAAAATCACAAATACACAGGATATTTATTGCAGCATTGTTTGCACAGATGAATAAAATATTGAAAACAACATGGATGCCCATCAGTAAGGGACTAATGATATAAATTATGGTTACTCCATGCATTGAAGTTATTTGTAGCCTTAAAAAACTATGATACAGCCCTATATACACTGATATACAATAATTTCATCCTATAGGTCTCTACTTTGGGCTGGTCTTGATTCATGTACTTTATAATAAAATTGTAATTGTACATATAAAGTTTTTCTAGTTTTCAAAGTCATTCTAGTGAATGATCAGGTCTAAGGGGGTTGTAAGAACCCTTGAGTTTATATCCAGTTGGACAAAAGTACAGGAGGTCTGGGAACCCCCAAACTTGTGGTTGGCATCGGAAGTGAAGGCAGTCTTATTGCAGACTGTGCCCTAAACCTGTGAGTTTGCACCGACTCTGAGTAGTTACTGTCAGAATTGAAGTATTGTACCTGCCCTTTCCTTTCCTTGGGGTCGGGTCTCACACTGAGGGATTATGTTGTGCTCAACACATATGAGGGTCCCAAACTCATCTTTAGCCGCCACTGGCCAGTGATGACATTAACTGAAACATCCTCATTTCTGCCTGACTTCATCCTGTACCTTTCCTGACCAAAAGGCTCTCAGGTCTCTTCCCCTCCCTCTTTCTCTCCCCCTCCCTCCCTCTCTCCCTCCCCCTCCCTCCCTCCTTGTCTCCTTTCCTCTCCTATTTCCACATGCCCTCCAGTGAGCACCTGCCCCTTTGAGAACTCAGGGCAAGGAGAACTTTGAGATCATCTCACGTCTATCTGCCCACATATCTCAGATGCCCTTTATGAGGCATGAGAGGATCCCCGGGACTTAGTTCCAGGCAGCAGGCACAGGCCTCTTCTGTTCTTGGATTCGCAAGGTCCTGGTAAAGGAGAAGTGCAGGACACAGGCCCTGGGGGTACACAGAGCCT